TTTTTTTTTTTAAATAGAGAAAATGGTTGCAACAATGAGTTGATGATTAGATAGAAAACCATAAATCAAACCACATTTGCTCTTCTTCAGCATCCACCCAGTTGCTGGGACTAAATTCCAACAAGGAATAGCCTCTGGAAATACAACTGGAAAAAAAATCACACATATAGCATATATCTTACTGTCACCCCAAATCTGAACAAGGCATTGTTTCCTCATTTTCCTTCTCCGTGGTGATTGGATCATCCCATTCTCTACCCATTTCTTGTTACCTTCTTATTTTCCTTCTGTACACATGATCCTCAGCACACTCAGGGTTATGTCCCAATGAACCCATCATAAATTGAAAATATCACAAGTCCAAAATGCATTCAATACACCTAACCTACCAAGCATCATAGCTTAGCTTCACATACCGTAAGAAGTGCTCAGAACACTTACCTTAGTTTACAGTTGGGCAAAATCATCTGGCATCACAGCATTTCAAGAGAGTACCCTACTGCATATTGTTAGCCAAGGAAAAGATCAAAATAAAAAATTGAAAGTACAGGGCAGCACCTGTGGCTCAATGGGCAGGGTGCCAGCCCCATATACTGAGGGTGGAGAGTTCAAACCCAGCCCCAGCCAAACTGCAACAAAAAAAATAGCCGGGCATTGTGGCAGGCACCTGTAGTCCCAGCTACTTGGGAGGCTGAGGCAAGGGAATCGCCTAAGCCCAGGAGTTGGAGGTTGCTGTGAGCTGTGTGACACACTCTACCGTGGGTGGTAAGGTGAAACTCTGTCTCTACAAAAAAAAAAAAAAATTGAAAGTACAGTGTTTATTAAATGCATGTATGTAGCTTTTCCACCACCATACCGTCAAACCAGTTCTGTACATTTTCTATTCACTTGTGCTAAACATGTTAAAAACTGAACTCATAATTTACCTCCTCAAACTTGCTCATCTCCCTTTGTTCCTTCACCTCTGTTAATGGCATCAGGAGCAACCACCCACTAATCCCAACCAGAAGCCTACAAGTCATTCAGTCAAGACTAAGGTGACCAGGCTCGGCGCCTATAGCTCAACCGGCTAAGGCGCCAGCCACGTACACCTAAGGTGGCAGGTTCAAATCCCCAGCCCGGACCCGCCAAACAAC